CCTAATGCTCTGAGCCGTAGAAAGCTATATACCAAAATATTGCCAATGAAAATCACGCTGTCCGGTCATTAGTCTTATGCTTCGGGAAGAACAAAATGCAAAATGATTTCCATTGTGCAACCGCAATCTTCACAATCATTGAAGTAGTGAGTAAATACTGATCATTTTTTTTAGTATTTTCTTTCGTCAACTATAGGAAACTCGATATTTACACTTTTCTAATTATTTATGTTTGGTTTACAAGGATCAGGAACTGATTTTTTGAAATCAGAATTTTTTTAAATGCCTAGTGTATTTTCGAAGATTTTCTATAGATTTTTCGGTGTGGAGAAAAACTTTCTTAAAAAACATTTAATAGATTCTGTATATGTTTCATATTCATAAAATATTTCATATATTTACTAAAATAATCATATATATACGTCATAACCTATGAAGGGAATAGTGTGTGACTTAAAAATTATTCATTTTCAATGTACATTATTTAATGGGAAAATACGGCTAATGTTTTTACATGAACTCGAATAATGTGAAAACATGATTTCGAGGTTTATTCATTTAATTTTTAAGCAAAGTCTTTTTATTTCCGTCATGTAACTTCAGCTTCAACTGTAGTAGATTCCAACGATGAATAACCATTACAAATATAAGTAGGTTTTCAAAACATTAGAATAAGTATTACAAGGAAAAGATTTCGATAATCCAAACTTCGAAAAAAAACATTTTAGTAGTGATTTTGTTTTGTTAATTTATATTTCTCTATCAAATTCAACAGGAATATTTCAAATGATAAGAAGTAAATTTTTGTATTATACTTTTATATTTGTTTTACTAAATATCGAAGTAATCATAATTTTGCAATGTGAAAACTCTGTTTATCTTCAAATCACAAAAACACTTAACCTATATTATAATTAATATACGTAACTATTTAAAAATATAAATTTAAAAGTGAAGTATTAAAATATTAACTTTAAACAATTCACACATGCTATCATAATAATTTAAAACAGTAATTTTAGAACTGTCTTATTTAGTATTGTTTTAAAAATTAAATTGGAACATATTTAACTATTATAATTACAATGTAACATTTTAACTCTGACAATTTATGATACCATCTCCTAAACAAGGAATAATTTTAAAAAAAGGTTATTTTTGTGAGATTTTCTGAAATGGAAATTCAACTCAAATTTATAAATGAGAATTTGAAGTCTTTTACTATTCACACTCTAATTATTTTATATCGATATTCCTAAATGCCAGGAACGTCTCTTGAGTTTGAAGAGGCAATAACGTGCATACTGCTGTTATTACGCTGTGAATGATCCTTGCTCTAGTAATGATAAAAGTGTGTAGATATTCTCTCATGAAATGATTTTCTTCTGAAAACTGTCTCAGTAATATCAAATTTATTTTAATATCTCATGTTCATAACTAAATATTGAAATTTTATAGAATGGTTGCAGTCCAGCTATATGGTATTTGATCCTAACATCAAAATAAATGGTAATTTAATTTATTCATTTTTCGATTTATTTCTGTAAATGTTCAGTCAAAACGAATGGACAGCTATTAAAATTAGATAAAGACCATATAGCTATACAAAATAAATATTTCATTTATTGAAAATAAGTCTAATTATGATGTATAATTTGAAGCTTCTTTGACTTCTCTACATAATCACTTCCTATATTTAAACATTTGTCGCATTTGCTCACGAGCTTCAGAATTTCCATGTTACACTGTTTTGCTACCAGGCAATTATGTTAGCATTCTCTAACTTTCCATCACTTCCAAAACATTTACTTTCCTGAATTCTTGCCCTGTTTTTCCTCTGGTAAGGAATAAATTATAATCACTCAAATCAAGGCCTTAAATATTGGCCTTTTGTCTGAAGGCTGTTAACCCAAGGCTTAATTTATTGGCGATAGAGCTGTATAATATTTGAATGCTGAATCTTGTGAACATATACTACTATTGCTTAAATGTAGGTAGTGTATATGTAGAAAAGTAAAGAAAGCTTCAAGGTTTTGGTTTCAAAGCAGAATTGTTTTTTTTTTCAATAAATATTGTTTTTCATTTTGTATACAAAAATGGTCTTTATTTTCTGAATGACCCTGGTATTTCATTTGTGTGTTCAAATTCATCACTACTACTTTTGATATTTATTATGTCAAAATACTTTACACAATAAATCATTTTTATGCCTGATTAAAAAATTAAGGAAATTTATTCTTGTTTAACATTCAAGGAATATATAGGTAACATTTTAAAAAATTATAAGGGAAAAAAAGTAGTTAAAATTATCTTGCAAATAAAGCAATCTAGAGTAATTTTATAGTTCTTAGATTTGTTTTTGCATATTAGATTTGTTTAATTTATTCATTCTTATTTAAGAAAATTAAAATATTAAGCAATAATACTAAAAGGAAATAAGAAAAGCTTTAGAATGTAATGTTTGAATTACAATTTTATGATTTTTTTTTCAAAAAAGTGATTAGTTTATTGATATGTATCCTTTTCTGTTCATTAACGTAACTTTTCACAACAAAAACACTTGAGCTATGCATTTATTTTAAAACCAAGTATAATATTTTTATTTTAAAAAAATGTGTACTGATATTTTTTAAAATATATTTTTCTATGAATATAAATTCACCTTTTGGATTTCTTCTATTAGCTTTTTAATATTTATGTTTCCATGATTTAGACTTGTATAATAGGATCGGTTAACATATACTAAAATTAAGCTTGGATGTTTGACTAATTCGTTGCTCTAACAAATGTTAAATAATCCTGTAATTTCAGACATGGCATTTAAAACGTGCAATAATTGTTTTTTTTTGTTTTGTTTCTAGTCTTTCCCTTACAACACTTTTATTGCGACAAAATTTATTACTAGGTGATCCAGACAAATTTACGAAAAAAAGATTTATTTGCATTCACCCAATGTTTGGTTTTCTCTGACGCCAACTTTTGGAATATAAGCCCAGCACGCATTCAATAGACTTCTTACTGAAAGACTTCTTTATGCAAATCTGTTTTCTTGTTACTTAAGCTCTCGGAAATAAAATAAAACAAACCAGCAAAAGCTCTCAGCTGTGTCCTAAATTTGTTCACAAAAGAACTTATGTTAAACTCGTTCCTCCATACAGCTTCAAATAGCGGCGAAGTATATTAGTTTTATGCCCCCGCCTCTTCATCATATGTTTTACTTTTTCCTTTACCTTCAGTAATTTACCAAGTCTTTTTTGATGTTTTCTACCTCGGTCTTACAGATTAACGCTCATTTTCTCGCTACGCCTGCAAAATAAAAGATCAAATTTCCTTGCAAATGAAAACGGAATCCGAGAACTCACTAAATTAAACTATTTTTGTGTTTTTTTCCCCTTCAGTACAACAGCTTATGTTATTTGGAAATGTTTAATGAAGATTTGAAAATGAAATTAAAGGAATTGATTATAATTTTGAAGGGTGTGAACGCAATTTTTGAAAACAGAGATTTCGAATTAATGAAGAAAACACGTTAAATATTTCACCGAGATTCGTAATTCTGGAAAAGAAATGAGAAAAAAAAAGATCTTAAATCTTTGAGAAATATGACTATAAATTAAAAAGAATTTTTAATTACATTTGGAAACTTTTTATTGAAAGTTGAGATATCAGTGCAAATAATGGATTATAAATTGTTCATATAACGTCGCATTTCTTCAATTTTCCCAAAAGTAATTTATGTAAAAGAGAAAATACACGTTTTGTGTGTGGAATTTGACACCAAAATAATTTGTCTACAAATAGTCTAAGCTATTATTTATTAAAACTTACTAGAGAAAATTAATTATAAATTTCTAAAAGAAATGCAGTGCAAAAGGTGTTATATATTATAATTGGTTGAATTTTATTCTACAATTAATGTTATTGGATAGTATTTAGTAAAAAATGTAATTACTCTCCTTCTGATCTTACTTTATAGTTAATATTTCACTTAAGAACTATTGATTTAGGAATGCATTAGGAATTACTTATTAGGAAAACATTTAAATTTATGGGCATTATAGAATTTAATAATGTTGCATGACATGATTCTCTCTTTCCCTCTTCTTAGCAATTATTCTTGAAAACTTCTTTAAATAGACTTCGATTAATGTTATAGAGCTAATTACATATAAAGCAAAAAATCATAGAGTTCTCTTCCATCATTAATCTATAACCAAGCTAGATTATTATAAAACTTTGAAACCCTAGAATCGTCTATAATATTTCTATGTGTTTGACTTTCAGAAAATTAAAAAAATAATTATTTCAAAAGAAGTTCCATTAGATTTTATTACAGATCGTTTTCGTTTTCATTATTAATTATTAATCCATTTGACTTAATTTAAATTTTGTATTATGTTTTTCTTAATTTATTATTTTCATTTTATTTTGTCTATTTTAAATTTGAGGACAATTTAATTTATGCTAACATTTATTTTAATTAAAATTTCTTTTTTTATTTCATTCAAATTAATTATGCATTTACTTTTATTTTCAGTTTGCCTTTCTCTTTTCTACTTCTCGCTATGTACATATATATATGTATGTGTGCATGTATATGTATATATATATGTGTGTGTATGTATAAGTATATATATATATATATAGTGACTCCGAGTGGTTGTGCTTTATTTGCTTAATTACTAATGATTATGTCTATGTTGTTGATGTAAAGATGGTTGTTTAGATGAAGTATCCTTTTGTTGGATGATAATCCATTTTTCTAATTCCTACTTTTAGTTTACTCTCCTATATATATATAATCTTCAAATTTTCTGTCGTTAATAAAATACTTTTTATTCATCCACTCAAGTTCAAACACATATTTTGAAATTTGTAGTGGATAACACTTGAAGTTCATACGATTTTTTTTAATATTAATTATATTTAATTAATTAATAAATAGTAACAAACAAAACTAATAATCCAACACCATATATAAAAAGGAAAACCGCTCGTTGTGTTCCTGTAGCGCAATGGATAGTGCGTTGGACTTCTGATCCAAAGTCGTGGGCTTAAATTCCCGCTGGGATAGCCTAATTTTTGAGAATGGGATTTATTTTTACCATACTATTTTGTTGGAATAATTATACTTAATTAAGGAATATATATATAGTACCAAACTAAAATGATTGCTTAATGCCATACATGGAAAAAAAATGGAAAATCACTTTCTACCATTTTTACCACTTAATATTGTAATTCTGTCATATGTATATACATACTTTTATTAATTGTAATTGTTTAGCAAAAGGTAACTTAAAATAAAGTTTTTCTTTGTTGCCCTACGTAGGAATTCACTTTTTTTTAAATATTACTTGTTATTGCATTTAGACTCTTAAACAGACATCGATACACACACAAACACAGACATAAATTAAAATCTGGACAGCACTTGTCAAAGCAACATGGCGTATATGAGCAGTGGCGTTTCCTGAAGAGGAGGTTAATATAAAAACGCTAATCGGAAGTTACAAGGCTCACATGACTTCCGCGGGTGTCCTTGTGATTGGTGGACAGCTATTGCATGGCGTGATCACTACTCTAATATCGTTGACTACGCAATTTTCAAGTGTTTTAAGTTAAGGCTAACTCCCTTTAGACATGTAACTAATATTTACGTATTTAAATGATGTCCTGGAGGGTCAGGGCCATTACCAATTAAAGAGGCCTCAAGAGGAAATTAACGTGAATTATTTTACATGTAACTTTCTAAGACAATGTTTCTCAAACTGTGGGGTGCACCCCCCTTGAGGGGCGTGCCAACTCTACAGGGAACTCTACTCATATAGAAAAGTCGAAAATAAAAGATCAATTTAAAAATTATTAATTTACTGAAAGTAAATAAACAAAATACATCCTGACATAATAAAAAACGAAATATGAATTTACACTGATGTATTATATTTTTAAATGTATCAGTGCTACACAATGTTTTATATAATTAATTTAACAATACTAAGTGAAGAACCAGTTTAATAATTGTCAATGACTCCATGGGGCTCTGTCAAATATAAAATCGCATAAAAAATCAACACTTATTTGTTAACACTTTGTACAGTTTGTAATAAAAAAAATCCCTTGACTGCCGATTAAAAGTTACGTGATTCGCTCCCGAATGGCAACCATTTTCGACGTAGGCGTGTGCATGTGATGTATTGGGTGGGAGTGTGCGTGTGTGGGGAGAGGAATAAAGAAGAAAGCAAATAACCTAAAATAAGAGAAAATCCTTCGCAAATATTGACAAGGTCATTTTATTGCATTTCAAAGCCTTCGGAATAAATTTATGGACAGCAGTGCACAAAAAGTTCTTACTTTGGAAAGACGGATATATACGTCCCGGGAAATTGACGCTTTGGCTGACAGAGACGTTTATAGTGGCACTTAAGAGGATAAAATCATATCGTAATTTTATCATCAAAGTATATTATTGAATTCAATACATTGTTATTGTTTGAGGGGGTGCGACTAAAATTATAATTGAATATTGGGTCGCGAATATTGAAACTTTGAGAAGCACTGTTCTAATGCATTGCGTGTTACTTAATTTCCTTTTATTTCGTTTATTTACTCACACATACCTAGTGAGATGGAGAACAGTAACTGCAATTTTAGTTCTTAAAAAAGCACATTGTCGTCCCATTTTTGAAGTAATACGACGCGGTTTGCATTTGTATCAGCCACAGGAACCGACCAAACAGCACGCTATGATGATGAGTAACGAATGTTCGAAACTTCAGTGATAATAATATATAAGCTGAGAGATCTTTTGAAATAGCTTTGTCTGCAAAGAGAAAAATGCTGCTGTACATTATAAGCTTTGCCTGTTTGTAGTGTTTTTGATTTTATGTGAATAAGTGCGTACTCTTGTTTACATAATGTGTTGCTTAAAATAATCTTACGTAGATGATTGCTTGGAATGGACATGCCAAGAAGTAAAAATTTCAAACTTAAATTTCTGGAAACCAAACCTCTTTTTAGACAAAATGAATCATTCGAATTACAATACATATATATGTGTGTAAGACATTTAACTGAGAGAATATTTTGTCTAAATGCAATTCTTGAAGGGGTAAGCTTTGTTAGTATTTCAAAATCTGCATGTTTTGATGACCACAAATTGAAAAGAGACAACATGAATAACAAAAACGCGTACACAGTAGTACAAGGGACAAAAGCATGCCTTCTTCGTTCCGGAGATTTCAGCTTTTATAGTTTCCTGAACCCTGGTAATTTTGAAGTCATGATTTCCATTAAAGTATTTTGTTACTTGTGAGAATGCGTGGTGAAAGACGTAAAAACACTGAAATAAACATATGTTATTGAGAGAAAGAGACACCATGAAAATAAGAAATACACACAATGGAAACTTTTTACAAATTTGGTATAGTCTATATAGCATTATAAAATGTGATTTTACTTTAAAAACATGATTTCCAATTTTTGATGGAAAGTTATTGTACCATACATATAGTAATGTATACATAAAATGCAATTACCTTAAGGTACCCTACTACAATCGGACCCGTAAATTTTTAAAAAGCGCATAAATGGATAATTTTCATGATATTCAGTGGCACTTCGAATAGAATACATGTATAAAATTATTTTAAGGTCATTTTGACAAAAAAAAATTGTTTAAATGCAATATTTCGGCAAAAAGTTAACTTAGAATAACCTTTTTTCATAATATTCTCCTTTTTGCTGAAAAATGCTTCTATTATAACTATAGTTTGCCTGCATATAGCTCCTATGTACAGATGCTCAACTATGATATTTGAAAAAATTGCATTATTTTCAGAGTAACAACCAATTGGAATAATTATCGGTGTTTTTCCTTAAAATTTCTCCCCTCTTTTGTCGTAAAATATGTATCAACCCAATTCTAAGTAATATATTTCAAAAAAAATTAGTTGAGCCTCAGTACAGAGGTCTGAGCTATATACAGACAAAATATTATTACAATAGAAGCATTTTTCAGCAAAAAGAAGAATATTTTGAAAATTGGTCCTTCTATGTTCTATTTTTGTCAAAATATTGTAAATTAATTTTTAATTGTAATACTATTCTTTAAACAATTTTATATACATTTTCTAATCTAAGTGACACTAAATATCATAAATATTATCCATTACGCTTTTGCATAACCATGGTTCTGAACGTAGTCGGATAACCTAAATTACTTAGATGCATATATGTACTGTTTCAATATATAATATTGAGATAAATAATGTAAATTAGACTAAGTTGTAACAAATTGAAATGTTTTAAAGCTATATTTAGTTTCCTTATCCTTCAGTTTTATTTTGCGAAGAGTAGAATGATGTTAAGATTGGGGTTGTTAAATTGTTAGAAGTTGATACTCAAAATTGAAATATGGAGGACAAAATTATACTGCTTCCTAATTTCGCAAACAAACGTTAACTTTCCAATTATTCATGTATAAACATAACTAACATGTGAAACTTAAAAGTTCATGAATAAATTCATTTATTTCCTTAGAAAGTCGCCGAAGTTCAGTGTTTACCAAATACACAGATAATTCTAAGTTGTGCAGAGAAGTAAACAAAGTTGCAAATATGTAAATGCATTCCCTCGGAGAAAATGTCAACAAAAACTGTATTTTACCTGTAACATCCTATTTCATTATCATAAAACTCATCATTTTGTAATAAAGTGTAATTAGATATCTATTTACCTCCTTCATTAAAAACAGATGCTTTTGTAAAAGTATTTTAAGTTTTGAGGTAAATTTGTAAGCAAAATATTTTTATTTTATCCTCGTATGTAAATGAAACTACTATCTCATTCACTTAATCAATCATTATACTCGTTGTTATGTTCGTGTAAAATTATCTACATATATAAGAATGGATGCTTGTATATATGAAATCGCATCACTCCAACCCCGTTCAACCGATGACTATAAAAATTGAAATGTATATGTATTTTTTTGTGTATAAGGATTTTGTACTACCCTCTTTGTTCCACTTCCCCACCAGGTGGTGCTACAGAATATCAATTTTTGCACCGTTCGATCAATCGCAAGTTGCCAAAAAAGTCACCAAAAATGATGTCAATTTGGCTCTGTCCCCAGCACTTCCCTATGTTTCTATTGAATCGTCATTATAATGAAATGAACGGCGTTACTTGCAAATATTACAAATTTAACATAAGATAAATACAGCAGAAAGTTATATTAATGTATTACACGTCCAGATATAGATTATTTACACTATTTTAAGCGTTCACCACACAAAATATGTAACAATACGTTACTCGACCCACAAGAGAGTTACGGGGCATTATAAATAAAAAAAATCTTTTTATCAGCAATTAGATCTACAGACTTAAAATTTAAAAAAATAAGGGTCGTTTGTTCAACTGAGATATGCAATTTTTTTTGTTTAATTTGCAAAATTCACGTAAAATTAACTCATTTTAGAACAGTGTTTCTCAAACTTTCAATACAGGCGACCCAATTTTCAATCATAATTTTTGTCGCACCCCCTATACAACAATAATGTATTTATTGCAATAAAAATGCACTTTGAGAGAGAGACGCTAAAGTTACAATATGATCTTAATTATAAACCGTACAAATTAGTACGATAAGTATATTAAATTTTGTATATGTAACTTTTAAGTAATGTGTATTTTAAGAAAATTACTTAAAATATATATTACTTACTTATTATTATGTTAATTTTTCTTTCTCTAATTTTTAAATTGGAACAGATCGCAAAATGATATATTTAATTAATTATTTATTTCTCCTTCAGCATTCGTTTCTCAAAGTACAAATGTCATTAGAAAAATAGTCTAGTCTATGTTGCTCGCTATCATATCCATCACATTTGGCATTATAGGGTACATTTGCGTTAGTCTGGGCAAGCTATCGGACGTCTGGGCAAAACATGTAAAACCTCGTACAATTCCACTCAGCTTTGGTCGACTCGATACTTCTATAGCTATAGAATCTAGCTTGAGAATCTACGTTTTTTTAAATTTATACGTTAATTGTAATTCACGGTA